GTGGCGGGATCTACGTGTGAAGCGGGATACATAGCTGCTTCGAAAGCAACAAATGAAGGAGTCTGGATGAAGGAGTTCATATCCGATCTAGGTGTCATACCTAGTGCATCGGGTCCAATGAAAATCTTTTGTGACAATACTGGTGCAATTGCCTTGGCAAAGGAATCCAGATTTCACAAGAGAACCAAGCACATCAAGAGACGCTTCAATTCCATCCGCGATCAAGTCAAGGAAGGAGACATAGATATTTGCAAGATACATACGGATCTGAATGTTGCAGACCTGTTGACTAAGCCTCTCTCACGAGCAAAACATGATCAGCACCAAGACTCCATGGGTGTTAGAATCATTACTATGTAATCTAGGTTATTGACTCTAGTGCAAGTGAGAGACTGAAGGAAATATGCCCTAGAGGCAATAATAAAGTTGTTATTTATATTTCCTTATATCATGATAAATATTTATTATTCATGCTAGAATTGTATTAACCGGAAACTTAGTACATGTGTGAATACATAGACAAATAGAGTGTCACTAGTATGCATCTACTTGACAGTGGCTGCGCGGCTGGCAACCGGTTTTGCATCTCTAGTTTGCATGTTCTATTGGAGTTGCTCTTATACATCTTCATTTTGCATCACCTGTTGGAGTTGGTCCTTTTTCGAAGATGCAAAAGACACTTTTTGAAAATGTAAATTTTGACATCTCCAAATTTGCATCTTCTATTGAAGATGCTCTTACTTCCTTTCATCTGAAACTAGCTTTCTTTCTCTCAACCAGGATAAATTCTATGAATTTCTTCTTAACTACTTAAATTTAGTCACTTGGTTATTACTACTGTAATGATATCAATGGAGTTGAGGAAGACTAAAAAGAGTGATGTAGAGCTAGCAATTTTTTTCTACAGGAGAGATATATAGAGGTTTATCTTCAAGGGATCGATGTAGATGCTCTATGGAACCGTCATCTATTGTTGGTTTTTGTCGTGTGGTTCTAAGGAAGTATCATTAGTTTTTTATTGACTCTTGGGTTTTACTTTTTCCTTCTGTGAGGGCATCCCAATGCTAGTAAACAAATCAGTTGTAGAATGGTTACATGCGGTTGAGAGCACTACAAGCCAGGACACTCAGGTTTGTACCTAAGAGCATCTTCACTCGTTCGGCCCCCCAGCGCGTAGGCCGGCGCTATTTCGAGCGCTCGCCCGGCGCTTTTTAGGCCCGGGGGGGCGATCTAGCTCCCAGCCACGCCCTCAGGCACCGTCCCCCAAGTCGCGGTAAATTCAAACTTGGTTATTCCCGCTCCCAAACAACGTCACAAGTCCGGCGATCAGCGGCCTAGTTCGGTGATCACCTTGCCACAGTTGGGCGATCAAATGAAAAGTTTGACGTACAGAAAAAGGAAAGGATGTGTGGGCAAGGCATCAAACGGCTGGGTCGGCCTCCGGCGTCGGCGTAGTCGGCGTGCGTGGGCTTGGCGGCGTCGGAGCTGCTTCTATGCTGGGCGGCGCCGGCGCGGCTTCTGTGCTGCTAGGCGTCGTGGAGGCATTATCGCTCGGGCTTGGCGGCGGCGTCGGCGTGGGCGTGAGAGTTGGCGACGCCGTCGACGGCAGCTGGTTCAGGACAAGGCCGCGCTCCACCAAGTACCACGCCTTGAGCTGCTCGTCGTTGCTCTGGAGCATGTCCGTCCCGCCCATCAGGAAAGCCAAGTCGGTGTTCCTCTTCTTCGCGGCAACGTTGGTCTGGAGTAGGTCGAGCTTGACGGCGCTGTTCGTCATCAACGCCGACCACCGCGCCTCGGTCTTCTCTTCACGCAGGGTTGCCCGGGCCTTTGCGTCCGCGAGGCAATGCTCAATGGACTCTTTCACTCGCGTGGTAGCCGCGTCGGCGTGCTTCCCCTTCTTGGCCCCTTTGTTGCCTTCGAGGCGTCCATCGCCCGGGCCCGGCGTCTGCGCGTCCGGCTTGTACGTCTCATTGGCCTTGGCGAGGGTGCACCGGACATCTGTCCACTTCTCGCACTTCTCGATCCGCTTGAAGACGTGGAGGTACTTGAAGTCTTGGTCACTGATGTCCTGGCGATACATGGTGTACATCTGCAGCAGCTGTGCCGAGGAACAAACAGTTGGCAGGCACGCACGGCGAAAATAAGTGGGAGACCGGCATGCCATACCTGATCCTCCATGCTCGCGCCACTCTCCGGGCGAGCCGCGATCTCCTCGACGATCCCATGCCATTTGTTGCACGCCATCTGGATGAGCCCCCAATGGTTCGCCATTGTCTTGGACCCGTGCTGCATGTGGACGCCTTTGAAGTAGGGGTCGACGAGCTTGCGCTCGTCGAACTCGGCCTTGATGCGCTCCCAATACGTCTCGATGCTCTGGTTCGTGCCGGTGATCGGGTCGAGGCAGACGGCTTTCCACGCTTCGGAAGACACTCCTGCTCCTTGGACGCCCACTTGATGCACAGCTCGCCGATCCTGGCCACCCCCTTCTTCTTCTTCCGTCTCCTCGCTGGTGCAGGCGCCGGCTCCTCCTCCTCCTCCTCCGGCTCCTCCTCGTCGTAGTCCCCCTCGCAGTCCATGTCGCCGTTGAGGTCCATTGTGTCGACCTGGGCAGTGAACCCGGGGGATGTGGCGGCGGCTACCGAGCCAGTCGTGATGATGTCCTCCATGTCGGCCTCGGTCGCGTCGATATTGCCGAGATGCGAAGTGGAGGCTTGTGAGAAGGGCAGCGCGCCACGGCGGAGAGCGGCGTCGGGGAGGACGCGTAGGCCGGCGGTGAGTAGGTGTACGGAGGGTACTGCACGCCGGCGAAGGCGGGCGAGGGCGTGCACTGGGCCGGGTGACCATGGGGGAAGGTGATGTTGGGGTTGAAGTCGTCGTGCACGTCACTCGGCGTAGCCCGGCGACGGCGTGCAGCCCCAAGGTTGCGGTGATGATGAGAAGCCGGCCGGAGAACCGACGCTTTGCTGGCTCCAGGACGCGTAGTGGCCGCCGGGTGGATTCATCATCCCCGCGCGGGCCGCCTCAGCTTGTTCGGCCGAAGCTCCGCCGTCGCCGCAGCCGCGAGCACCGCGCTATCCCGGGCCTTCTTGGCGTTGGCCCTGTTCCGCAGACCGGTGGTGACAGGCTCCCGGCGCTGAACTTCCGCCCTCCAGTCGGTGTTGGACATGCCCGGGGGCTTAGACGGCGGCGCTGTCGGCTTTCTCTGCTTCGGCTGGGCGATGGCGGCGGTCGCATCTGTCGCGGTGCGGGGGACAACGTGCTTCTTCGGCGGCATGGCGGTCGGCTGGGAGGGGAGGAGGAGGAGATTGGCGGAAGGAATGGGGAATGAGAGGGAAGCCGAGGGGGAAAAGCGGGAGGAAACAGCGGGAAAAGGGCCTCCTCTCGCCAACAGAGCGGCCCCACGCCCCTTTTCGCTTGTGCTGGCGCCCCAAAGGCGCCCCCAGCGCGCCGGGTTTGGCTCAGGTGCGCCGGCTGTTATTTCGGCCTAAACCGGCGCTAAACGAGATCGTGGGGGCGTGACTGGGCCGATTTTCGCCCGCTGGTGCTAAAAAATCACCGAGGGAGGGCGTGTTGGGGGCGCAGCTGGAGATGCTCTAAGGGCTGCATAATTTATAGTTTTTTTAGAAAAGAAGGATGACCCCCGGCCTCTGCATAATTTATAGCTAGGTTGAGACTAAAGATGATGCTTCCTTACAGCATCCACAGCCTATGGATGCAATGAAACTAAGTTTAACTTCGGGTACTACCATTATCCTTGACATGTTCAAATAGGTAGTTTACAAAGGCGCGGGGAATTCTGCAACATCCTTTAAGCCGTGGGCACGTTGACAGCAATGCGTTGGCACTAATAAGCCGCGGTTCCAGCGCAATGATAGGGACTGTCCGGGTCCACGTGGGCCCAGCCCGGCCGTAGGGCCCGGCAAGTCCTCGTCGCCGCGTCCGGTCGGCTTCGCTCTTGCGATGGAGGCTGTTCCCTCCCACCGATCGAGTAGTTCCCGCTCTCGTAGCCGTTGTCTCCTTTCCCTCTCCAGGCCTCGTGTTGGCAGCTCCAGAGAGACGGCGAGGGTGGTCCGGTAACCGTGGTGGCACATGCTGGTGGGCGGCTGCGTGGCTGGTCCGGTAACCGTGGTGGCACATGCTGGTGGGCGGCTTCGAGATGCTGGAAGCGTGGTGGTACTTCTTCGAACGGTGCAGCGGTTGCCGGTCTTCCTTTCTTCGTTGATCTGCCGGTGTCGGCATTTATTTCTCTTTTTTCTTCTTGTTTTTCTTTTGGGCTTTTCTATGCTGCAGCCCCAGCAAGCTGGATGTATCGGGTGTTTGCTTTATAATATAAAGCGGGAGGAAACCCTTTTTCTCACTAATAAGCCGCAGTTTAATTAGCCATGAACTCATGATACAGAACAAGAATTATTTCAATTGTAATCATACCCATCTCACTAATTCAGTTTGGAAAATGAACATCAATTATGCAGCAAGCAGTATCATCTGTGTTCAATTCATTCCCTCGACATGGAAATAAAGCGGTCGAACGCTAAGACAGTTGGAGACAATGCCTTCACACGTGGGCTACTATTACAGCAGTAACAGAACAGAGACTTGCAATGAACACTCCCAAGTCCGTAATGTGAACAAAGTCAGCGGCAAATCAAAAGGTTCTACACATCAAGGACAAGTTTAATCAGCTCTTCTACTACATGCCAAGCGCATCAAACATCTCAACTCCTAATGCACGCAAAATAAAACTGCGACTATCAGTCAGTTTGTAAAACATCAAACAAAGTTAGCGCCATCCTCACTCACTATAATAAAGCTCTAAGAAGCATCGTTATCTATGTATCGTTGAAGCCCCAGGTCAACTATTTCAGCAGTTCCCTGACTCTGCATGGGGTGCAGTGCATCAACATCACCCCCACTGTCATGGTGGTGGCACTTGAGCAGACGACATAGTAGAGAAGAGTAAAACAGCCGGTCAAGGTCACTTGCCAACAAAGCAGGTTCTTCTAGAAATTCCTAGGCTCAAACAACGGGAAGGAGCCTGTCCGAGCCTTCTCGCCACGGATATCCCGCTGGTGGGAGTTGGGATCTCTGCTTGTCTCAGGACGCACTCTTGTGCCCGCCTCATTCCTTTCTGCATTTATGCCAGTGGTGCTCAGGATTGGCCCGCCAAAGAATATTGATTGGCCTGTGTATGTCAATCTCTCAGACGGCTGCCCCGAAGGAATCGCTGATGAAGTTGTGTTCGCAGGTGCAAGGTTTCTCCCATGGTTGCCTGGTTCACCACTTGGATTCGCCAAGAAACTTGGGTTTCTTGCAGGCAGCTCAACACCAGGTCCTGTTCTTGTTGTTTGCATGGGCACTGACACGTACCGACCAGCCTCTTGATCCCAGACAACAGAGGCTCTTCGGTTCTCCCTGACATATGATGTGGCTGACTGGAACATTGGGTTGTTGCTTATATGTGTGGCGGGAACAGGTGGCCTTGTAATCCCTGGCGCAGGCCTTTCAGGAGGTGGAGCTGGATGAGGTGCTGCACGAAATTGAGCATGAGGGGCAAGCTTGTGGAGGTGGACCGGGCTGCTTAAACTGCTTGCAGTCTGTGTGCCAGTCTCATAGTCATCCTGGCTTGCAAGACTCTGTGGATATGAGTTCTGTAGAGGAGATAGCCTCATCTCACTCCTTGATTCCTTTGTAGCACTGTAGTCAACACTCATGCTACTCCTGACGCTGGCATTGCCACTGGAGCTAATATCAGCTTCATGGCCATGGCGGGCATCTATTGGTCGGAGGACAGAGGATGATGCCCGAGCTTTTGCTGCAGCTTTCATCACCTCGTTTCTGTCCAGCTTTGCAAGGCTCCGGGCACTGATCTTGACTGGCTTCTTGGCTTTGTTTGCTCTTTCAGCGTATCCAGCAGCATCAGGATCAACAGTTGAAGGAACCATCCCAGGGTCCAAATGTGGAATCACTTCATCCTGGTTGAAAGTTTCAGCACAACTAAATTCAGTAGAGTCTTACGATTGTTTCCAACAATATAAATATGTTTTTTCCAGCTGAGTCATGATTAAATTTTTAAAAATGTGGCATTTTACACAGGCAGCTTACCTGATCAATAAATATTCTTGGAGGTGTACACCAAGCACCCTTGTGGTGAAGGCCAAGAGAACTTCCAACACTGAATCCGGTTGTTGCTGAATTTGAGGGGGAATAGATGATATTTGCTCCTTCCTCGTCTTCTGGAATCCCCTCACTCATAGCTCTCATTGCGACCACATAATCATAGGTCGAGATCCCCTGATAAAGAATGCAGAGAAGGAACACAGCTGAGAAAGCAGGATAAACTTTGCATATGTATTACATTTCAAGTATGAGGTGTGAGGCAAACCTTTCTGATTAATATCATGTGGAAGAAGAAAAGTTCTCCTAAAGGTACGCAGGCCACTAATGACAGAAGTGTGAATATACCCTGGACATAATAATATTACAATTCAGTTAATTGTCGGCTAACAAGACTTGTTCTAAATAGTACTTCCTCTGTAAACATATATATTACATTTTAGATCACTATATATGTTTACAGAGGGAGTAAGAACTAGTGAGTGATGCTTAGTATACATTAGATCCAATACGCAAGCACTATAGGTAAGCGGTAAGCCAATGATAGGCACAAGAGCTAAGAAGTTAATTCATGGATCCTAAACAGTAATAGTTGCACTTCCAGAAGGTAAAAATAATGTGCTACCAAGCACATTAAGCATTCGATGTGTTGTGACAAGAGGCTGTGCAACCACAATACTCTATATGATATAAATGAAACAGTAACATAGATAACAGCGTCAAAACTTTGCCAACATAGCACGTAGTGCAGCAAATATAAGGCAAACAGTCTTGGGATTCCTCATCAGCTAATGGTGGAAAGGTGCTGCTTCAGATATTATAGCAAAGATAAGATTCCTATATAGTAAAAGGTACAATAATTCATTACGGTACTTACTACAATCACAGCAAATGGAGCGCGAGTCAAGCCATTCCCAAGCTTTTCTTGAAGGATTCTTGGTGAATTTTTATTGACAAAGCAGAGAACAAGAACAGCAATGCCCACTCCAAATTGAATTGCAAGCTGTCACAGTAAACTGTAAATATTTAGTACCATAAAGGGAAGGGAATAACCACAAACCTCTAGAACCAAGTGGCTTTAAAAATGATATGCTACTGCATGCAGCCCACATGCATGCTATCAAAAAAAATCTATAACAGGTGAAATTGCATACCCATAGGAGACTGATTGCCATCAGAGCAATAAACGTGAAGTAGTTCTTCCGCCCAACACAATTATTCAGCCACTGCGAAAGATGCTCATATCAGCTATGCAGAATCAGATGTCAGAAGGTCTCTGCTAACACAGTTCAAGAAAGTTACCCGACAATGATGATCAAATCCATCCACACACTTGTCACAGCTTCTGCAGTGTTTACTGAATTTGCGAACCTGTAAAATTAATTTACATAAAAAATAAACATAAGCTTCAAATAAGCCAGCTGCATGCTAAAGTGGACTTATGGAACATGGGGGCATTGGAGCATGCTTTTTTAAACACCTCCAAAATGGTGCTTAAAAGTTTAAAAAAAAAAGTGTAGTTTTTTGACATGAATACGTATGCATGTGGTCTAAGTAGCAGTTAATTTTCTTCAATAATACTCCCTCCGTCCCATAATATAAGAACGCTTCTAGTGTGTAAAAAGCGTTCTTATATTATGGGACAGAGGGAGTACATTATATTATACGCTACAAAGAAAAAGACAAAATTCCGTCCCAAAATCAACAAAAAAAACAAACCAATTTTTGTTTGCATGTATTTGTCCTTTTTGTATATCTCACATACAAGCACGTATATTGATGAAATTATGCACAGTTATACTACAGTTCTATATGTGCATGTATACAAAATTTCAGAATTTTTCATGCCGTAAAATTCAATTTTTTTAACTCCAAAAAAAAAGGGCGCAATGTGCCTGTGCTCCAAAGAAGCATACCTCAGCATTGCATAATGTGCAAAACAGAGCTTCTTCACCACTAGCTTGTTGCTCTGATTCATCAGCCTTCCGGCAGTCCTCCTTAACAAATAAAGCACACACGAGCCCACCAAAGAGGAAACAGCTTGATCTTTTCTTCGGCAGTTGTGAGCTCACATGTATGTTTGCTTCCCCTACAGATGTACCTCTCTGATTAGAATGGCCATCTAGAGAGCTTCTGCAAGTAGATGTTGGAGAGTGTGTTCCAATAGCGCTGTTTGCTTTCTGGGGCAAGTTTATGCCTTCCAATCCACCGCTGTTGGCAGGTACATCGACAAAACCATCCTCAAACCTTGCCATGATACCAGGATCAGCAGGATTAATACTTGTGCACCGGATGTAAAGGATGAAGACAGCCAACGCCTGGAATTGATGCGAAGAGTGGAAATGATGTTTCATGATACCACAAGATAGCTCTCTTCAGATGATCAGAAAGACATAAAAAAACAATGAGTCTTTTTAAGGCTTACCATGGGAGTATAAATGCCTATCGCAACATACTCAAGGACTTGTGTTCCCAGAAATGGTGCAAAGAAGGCATAAAATGCAACCACCAGAAGGAAGAATACAGTAATTGCAACGATCTGTCAAAACAATATTAAGAATCAGTAAAATTTGTGAAACAAGCCTTTCAATGTACGAACTTGAACAACAATTGAGGCTTGGGCTTAGCAGTAACATATATGACAGAAATGTACATGCCGATTAATAAGCTTGGGCTTAGCAGTAATATTCTGGGAAATTATTTTCTTGACGCTTGAACTACTGGCTTTCCTTTTTAAAAACAGAACCAAAACCATGACACAATCACTTAACAACATCTATTGAGTATTAACTACATTAGATGGAGAAAATCCACATGTTGCGGAAGACCACCGTGCACAAAGATATCTGACATGTGGCCCTTGACCACAAAAGAAACTAGAACATTATTAGCATGTAAGTTGTTGCCATCACTTGACCAGTAAGAGTTTTCTACCAAATGTGCGAGGTTCACCAGGTTCGATGCAAAATTCAGACAAGGGCTAACTTGGTGGACTCAAGAACAAGCTTACAAGCTACTGAGCCAACTCTCACAACATAAGCCAACAGAATCTAGAAAACAGGCAGAAACATCGCGATATTGCACCACCATTCATTGACAAACCAAAAACAAAAAACTGCAGCTCTTCTAAATCGCCTACATTTGCATGGCCAAACCACCCCCTTGGAAACCCGCCTAGATGCAGCCAGAAATAGACCAAACAAGCAGGTCCCGGACCTCATTCCAGAGCATAAGTGGATAATTTAGCATAAAGGGGTTTACTAATTCCAGACAGTACTAAATATACAACCTATTCAGACAGTACTACTACTACCTCCAGTTTAATCACCAGTAACAAGCAACCATTTCAGACAGTACTCTAGAGCCATCTCAGACAGGAGACGCATCAAGCCCGCTCCGGCCAGGCGGAGCAGCAGGAGGAGGAGGAACCACGCCAAATCGAGCACGGGCCGGCAGAATTCACAAAATTCCCAAGCCATTCCGTGGCCCAGCTCACATTATCCACCTGCCTCACCCACGCAGACACGCGGAAAAGCAGGAGAGGAAAGGGAGAGCCAACCAACCACCGCCGAGCTGGCTCCCTCCTCGGCAGATCTTCGAAATCGGGAAATTTCCTCCGGCGCGAGCTCACGGACGGGGGCGCAGTCACCGGGCGAGCTCCTGCTACGGCTACCGGATACGCGAGCTAGGGATCGGCGGAGCAGAGAGCGCGTACGGTCTCCCATCCCAGCTGCTGCGCCGATCCGAGCTAGCTTGGGAGGAAAGGGAAAGGGGGGGCGGGGA